AGCATGCACCACCACCACGCCTGGTGTCAGCAGTTTCTTTACTACATTCCTTGCATACACTCATAAACACCTGTAACTCCAACTCCTCCCTGGGGATCTGATGTCCTTTCTGGCCTCTTCAGACACTACGTTCAACCTTTGAAGACAAGACTTCTCCCCACCCCCTGACTTAAAAATAAATTAGTTAACTATATATACCTTTAGTATTTTAAAAGAGCAGTAAATTATTTTAAGCGTGACAAGCAGAGGGTCTTGGTCTGGGTAGCTGTGGGAAGTAGGGAAGCGGCTGGTCCACAGGGTTGGCACACACTTCTCTCCCTGTGACTTTCTGCCCTAGGTGATAGAAAGGTGCTTTCCCTCTGGTCTAGACTCTGAACTTGGGCTCTGTGCATGCTGGGCAAGCACTGTACCAATGGGCTCCACACCCAGCTCTGACTGTACAGAAACAAACAGAAGAGAGGCATCTCATTTGGTAGAATGCTTGCCTCGCAAACATGAAGAGCTGAGTTTCATCCCCAGAACCTCTGGAACTTATACAAAAGTGGACGTTGTGTTGGAGTGATGTTTTTGTGCACTGTGTAAAGATTATCCTTGTATTATTTAAATGCTGATTTCTGTGCTGGTGCAGATCTGATTACAGGCCGGACTTTGACGTTTTTTTATTTTTTATTTTTATTATTATTTTTTTAACTTTTTCGAGATAGGGTTTCTCTGTGCAGCCTTGGCTGGATTTGCTTTGTAGACCAGACTGGCCTTGAACTCACAGAGATCCGCCTGCCTTTGCCTCCCGAAAGCTGGCATTAAAGGCCTGACCCACTACACCCGGCAGCGGCAGCGTTGTTATTTTTATAAAGCAACTCCTGCCTCTATATTTTGTAAACATTGTTCTCCATCACCTTCTGATTGGTTTTAATAAAAATCTGATGGCCAATAAGCTGAGGCAGGATTAGGAGGCGGGACTTCCGGTCAGGGTCGGGGGAGAGGAGGAGGTTCCCAGGGGCAGACCAAGAAGCAAGGCCAAGGACCCCAGCAGGACGCAAGTTAAGAAGCCGGTGCCTGGACAAGAGTAGGAAGGACAGTAACAGACCATGTGGCTTCGGTGTAGGCCAGGCCAGTATTACCAGGTTAAAAATAACCCAGAATCTGCCCAGCTTAGTGCTATAAGGTAATAATAAATAAAAAGTCCGTGTCTTTATTCTGGAGCTGGGGCTGGCATAGAAAGTTGTCCGCTGATGATAGGGTTCCTAGGTGAAAAGGTCAGGATTCCTACAAATGACCTTGCTCTCTTAGAAAGGAATGTTTGCAGAGATACCTATCTCCCACAGTAATCTGTCTTGCCTGAAGCAGACAACTCAAGGGAAAAGAGACAGTGAAGCTGACCTAGCCTCCTATGGATGCAATTTCCTTATTTCTCAGCCTGTTCCCCCACAGACCATCCCCCTGTCCCCTCCAGACAGAAGGAATGTCTGTCCTTCCATGTTTGAAATAAACAGCCCAGTCTGTAGAGGTCAGATTCTGTCTCTTTACGCTTCCTCAGAAATCTAACAACACATGCTACTACTAAATACAAACCAGTCATAAGCTGGATATAACTTAAATGCTGGTCATCAGACATTTGAGAAAATTTGGCTCCATTCAGTGTTACAAAGACTTTTAAATTTGGGTACGTGTTGTTGCAGCATGGATGAACCTTGAGGACCTTGTAAAATAATGTGAAATAAGCCTATGCTGGATAGTTTTATGTCAGCATGACACAAACTAAAGTCATTTGAGAGGAGGAGCCTCGACTCAGAAAATACTTTTATTAGATGGTACCATCCCCTGGGCTGGTGGTCCTGGGTTCTCTAGGCAGGATGAGCAAGCCATGAGGATTAAGCTAGTTAGCAGCACCCTTCCATGGCCTCTGCATCAGCTTCTGTCTCCAGGTTCCAGTCCTGCTTGAGTTCCTGTCCTAACTTCCTCCAATGATGGACCTGGAAGTGTAAGCCAAATAACCCCTTTCCTCCCCAAGTTGTCTTGGTCATGATATTCTATCACAGCAATGGAAACCCTAACTAAGACAAAGCCAGATACAGAAAAACCAAATATTTTCACGTTGTTCTTCTTTACCTGAAATTCACTATGTAGCTGAGGATGGCCTTGAACTACTGGTCCACCTGCCTCTGCCTCTGCCTCCTGGGTGCTGAGAATGCAGGGTAGGCCATCCTCCCATCCCCCCACCCCCAGTTTATGTGATCCTGGAACCTATGCTCTTCTGACTGATCAGGAACTTGATGCCCTTGCCTAAGGTAGGTGATCTTTGGGGTGAATTAAGAGAGGTTCCTGGTAAATACAAACTCAACTCAGGTCAAAATCCTACTGTTTAGGACATTGTCATTAGTACTGTCATTTTGGGGGCCCCTCTTTGGAACTGAGCTGCATCCATATCCCCTAAAGTTACACTTCATGAGATATCTAGAACAGTCAGATTCATAAGGCAGAAAGTTGTTTGGCACGCACTTTTGGTACCCTCACCCCGTTTTTTTTTGATCTAGTCTCACTATTAGCTCAGACAGTCCGTTACCTTTTCATCCTCTTGCCCTGATGTCAAAAGTGCTGGTTTTACAGGTATACATCACCACACCTGGCCTACCTACCCTTTCTACACCCCTCTAGAAAGGGGTCTTGCAATGCTACTCTGCTAAAACCTCCCTCTGAGAGACCAACCCAGTGCTCCCGGGTTGGTCTTTCACTCAAGGGATCCTTCTGCTTCAGCCCAGAGTATCTGGGATAACAGTGTGAAACCTTTCCAGAGCACGTTTCTGAGATCTAGATTTCACCTTTAGAGATAAGCATTAGCAATTTGTGATTTGATAAGAGAAGCCATGCCCTCAGGGGAAAAGAAAGTTATCTCAAGACACACTTCCAGTTGCTGCCCTTACTGCCTGAGGGGAGGTCCCAGGTCCTAGCAGGTTTCAACCTTTTGCCTGTATTCTCCAGCTCTTGGGCTTGCATACAGTTACAGCCACTTGGTGTGGTCCAGCTAGGAAGCCAGTGGATATTGGTACCAGTATCACCAGTTTGGTCTACTTGTTGGGCTAAAGGACTCAGCAGAGAACGAAGCCCTTATCCTCCTACCATCCACAAGTCACTCTAACCAACTGTTGTTGGTAGAGCCACTGTCCTCATGTCTGCCATATCCCTGAACTTGGATTTCTGGAAACTTTCCCAAAAGGTACTTGAATAAAATAGCAGACATGGGAATTTGATCAAGTGATGACTTAGGATGGGCATGGTGGTCCAGCACTAGGGAGGTGGAGGCAGGAAGAGCAGGAGGTTCATGGCCATCCTTAGCTACATAATGAGTTCAGCACCAGCCCACTTAAGACCCTGATGAATGAAAGATGAGGATGTGACTGCCCCAAGGTATGGTTGAGGAGAAGGTTTATTCTAGATATGAAAGAGAAAGCTTCCAGGGACATCTGGAAGAGTCCACACTGAACCGGGCCACGAGAGGAGAGAGAGGTGGGGAGAGTGAGAGAGGAACAGAGAGGGCATGCGGAAGCAAGTGGACCAAGAGAGGAGTCACAGGCCAAGACCAAGCCAGGAGCCTTAAGAAAATGTGTTGCAACTATGGCTGAGTTATATAAGGAAGATCTACTGGGGGCTGAGGGTGGGAGTAGAAGCCCTGCTCCTGGGAAGGAGAGGTTAGGGTAGGCAAGGGTGAGAAGTACGGGGGAGCCGCAGGTGCTGAGACTTGTCCCAGGTTTCTTTGAGATGTAACACCTACCTTAACAAAACAAAACAGAGGAACTCAAAACTGATTGTTGGAATAGAGAAGCTTTCAGACCAAAAGAGCCAGCCTGCTCCTGTGCTCAAGCAAGGTATCGAAGTCCCAGTCAGAGCCTCCAAAGAAAGGTACATATTGAGGGTAAATGGCACTTGGAAGATTCCTTCCTGTCTAAGTTAGGAGGCATCTGGGTCCATCACATGAAGAAAAGCAGTTCCTGTACAAGCAGGCAGTGGCATCTTGCTAATTCCTGCTTCTTCAAAGAAGAATGATTCTTTTGAGTTTAAGATAGGTTTCCTGGGTTGGGGGCAGAGTTTGAGAGTGACCTCCACAGATTAAACATATAGTCGCTGTGTGTGTGTGTGTGTGTGTGTGTGTGTGCGTGCGTGCGCGCGCGCGCGCGCGCGCGCGCTTGAATAGGCCAGAGGACAACTTGTAGGTTCTTTTTTTTCCATAAGACTGTCCGGCTTGGTGACAAGCCCTTAACTGCTAAGCCTTCCAATGATTAAGAGCCATCCACTCCACCCCAGAACATGCCCTTTCAAAGAAATAATTCACAGAATTCGACCCAAGCTCGTTCAGAGAGCAAATGGACTGCTAACGAGGTGGAGAAGCAGCTGCAGGAAATAGGTGAATTCTGGGCAGTTTAAGATTGCTCAAGACCAGATGGATCTTTAAGATACTCATTGGGAGGATAGGACAGTGGTGGGGCGGATCATGTGCCAGGACCTCAAAGCCCCGAAGCACTTTCAGAGCGCAAGTGTTTTGATCAATTGCAGGTTACATTAACAGACATTTTTGGAGATAACATTTTTATCTATTAATATTTATTTAGAGTATAGGCTTATTTATTTTTATTTATCGGATGGCATTCCCTCAAGATCCTTTCACACTCAGTTTATGCATGCTCTTTGTTGAGAAGAACGCGAAGCATTCAAAGTACATAAAGGAAGTATACATATAGCACTTGCACAAGCAAACAGCGCCACTCACCGGCCCCGCCCTTTTCGAGCCACGTGCTGCTAGGGCGCCCCCCCAACCCTGCTGTTTCCCTAGATGCCTATCTTCGAGTCCCCGCCCTCGGCCCCGCCTCCTCCATTGGAGCTGCCAATCAGCCGGCCTATGGCCACGTGCCGCCGCCGCCCCTATGTAGGGCTGTTTCCGGAGATGCCTAGCTGAGGGCAGCGGGCGAGGCTCCGCCCTTAGTCCTGTGCCCGGCCTCGGGACACACGCGCGGCGCGGGGCTCTGCGCGCGGCGCCTCAGGCATTGCGGCGGGCAGCCCGGGCTCCGGTGCGCCGCGGGCGTGGGAAGACCCCGGCGCCGGCGGTGGCGCAGAGCCGGTGGACGCGGCGGTAGACAGCATCGGGCGTCGCGAGCGAGTGCGCTGCTTGTCTGTGGGTCGTGCTTTTTCGACGGTGCTCGGGCGCTGGCTGATCGTCGGGCGGCCGGCGCCATGTCTGTGAGCGAGATCTTCGTGGAGCTGCAAGGCTTTTTGGCTGCCGAGCAGGACATCCGAGAGGCGAGCCCCCTTCTTCCCCATCTCCTTTTCTTTCCCTAGTCAGGCTGGGCCACTTGTTCCGGCCCTGTTCGGTCTCGCGTTTTCGGGCCCGATGGGTTCAGGTTAGGCCGCCTCTTGGTTCTGGATTCCACTGCTTTCCTGCTTCTTTGCATCATTTGCCTCTTTGAATGTCACTTTTTCTATTTCAGCATTTCCAGTCTCAGACTCCGTTAATGCCGGGGGCTATCCAGCACACCTTTTCTGCATTGGTTGCTCGCTCTTTCTTTCCGTTTTCATCCTTCCCTCTTTCCTTTCTCTCTTCCGTTTTTTTCCTTTCCTTTCCTTTTCCTTTTTAAAGCACTCGCGGCTTTTCCATAAACAAACACTCTCCTGTAGCTTCCCCATCCCACATAAAATGCAAAAAAAAAAAAAAAAAAAAAAAATCTAGATTCTATGGCTCTCACGGTTTTTTTCCCTGATCCCCCTTTACACTTGTTAATGTGTGTGTGTGTGTGTGTGTGTGTGTTGGAATTTACCTTTTCATTCCTTTAGTGCTCCAGATATTGTCTTTCCTGAGGACTCTTTGATTTACTGTTTGTTTTTGCTAGAATTAGTTTATTTCCTGCTCTCGCCGACTCTTTTCTTTTTGTACCTGAGACAGGATCTCTATGTATAGCCCTGGATGGCCTCGAACTTAAATCTGTAGTCTTCAATGCTGAGATTTCATGAGCGCAATTTAAAGTCCTCACCTTGACCTTACAGCGGAAAGGATTGCTATTCTGTTATGTTTTCTGTTAGCTTTTAAAATCCTGAAAAATTAAGCAAATGTTTACCTGTCTTATTGAACTCCTAGAAGGGATTGCTTGCTTCTCTGATGTTTGGGTAATGCCCATCACTAAATGTGCTCAGAGAATGTAAAATGAATGAAAACCAGTCAACACTTGTAACTTAAAGTGTTTGTTCTATAGAAAACGTTTGCATTGCCAACTGTTCATTTTTGTAGTGTCTCAGTTGGGTACTTGAGCAGGTGGTCTTTCATGGCTACCTGAGGAATCTAAGGTTTTTTTTTAGCGACTCCTTTAGTTGTGACTGGAAGAAGAAATCACTGGAACAGAGTGTGGTTGCAGACCTGAAGAACCTTCTTTCGAAGGTCCTGAGCCTTGTGACTAGAGTAAGGGTGTGGTAGCATGTTTGTAGGAGACTGTGGTAATGATTACCTTGGTTTATCTGATTTTTATTTTTAATTCTCTCTAGGAAATACGAAAAGTTGTACAGAGCTTAGAACAAACTGCTCGAGAGATTTTGACCCTGCTTCAAGGGGTCCATCAGGGCACTGGGTTTCAGGACAGTAAGTTCTTTGCTTTGATTTTGAAGGTTTTTGTTCAGTCTGTCAATCTCTAAGTCATGTACTCATAATGAGTACATCTGTCATTTTACTGTGTGAAATATTCATTATGCTCTCTTTCTTGTGAGTGAAAATCGGAGAATAGTGGTTTGATAATTTTATGACATTTTCAATATTCTGATATTTTGGTTGCTTTTCCACTTGTGCACAGTGTGGTTTAAATAGGGATGTTGTGTTCCTGTGATGGTCTACTGGCAGTACAACTGCCTAAAATCCTCCAGTATAAAGATTTTATTTATTTATACAGTGTTCTGCCTGCATGTATGCCTGCTGGCCAGAAGAGGGCACCAGACCTCATTGTCGTGAGCCACCATGTGGTTGCTGGGAATTGAACTCAGGACTTTTGGAAGAGCAGCCAGTGCTCTTAACCTATGAGCCATCTCTCTAACCCCCTCTTGTAAAAGAGCTTTTATTTGATATGTGTGTGTTTGTGTGTGTGTATGGTGTATGCATGTGTATATATATATATATAAGCATATATATATCAAGAGGATTTTAGGCAGTTGTACTGCCTGCCTATCTATCTATCTATCTATCTATCTATCTATCTATCTATCTATCTA